TTTCGCTCGACATCCTCAACACATCCTCATGCTAGACATCCGCCTGGACGACCTGGGCAAGTGAAAGAAAGCGTCTCGCTCGAGCCATCCTCGACACATCATCATGCTAGGCATCCGCCTGGGCGGCCTGGACGCGTGAAACAAGCGTTTCGCTCGACATCCTCAACACATCCTCATGCTAGGCATCCGCATGGGTGGCCTGGACACGTGAAAACATGCCTTTCGCTCAACACATCCTCAACACATCCTCATGCTCGACATCTACCTGGGCAACCTGGACGCGTGAAAGCAAGCGTCTCGCTCAAAATCCTGCCCAACTCCTCATGTTAGACATCCGCCTGGGCGGCCTGGACGCGTGAAAACATGCCTTTCGCTCAACACATCCTCAACACACCATCATGCTAGGCATCCGCCTTGGTAACCTGGACGCGTGAAAACAAGCGTTTCGCTCAAGATCCTGCCCAACTCCTCATGTTAGACGTGCGCCTGGGCGACCCGGACACGTGAAAGCAAGCGTCTCGCTCGAGACATCCTCAACACATCCTCATGCCCTGGGCACGCTAAAACAAGCGTTTCGCTCAACACATCCTCAACAAATCATCATGCTAGACATCCGCCTGGGCGGCCTGGACGCGTGAAAACAAGCGTTTCGCTCGACATCCTCAACAAATCCTCATGCCAGACATCCACCTGGACGACCTGGACACGTGAAAACGAGCGTCTCGCTCGAGACATCCTCAACACATTAAACATCCGCCTGGACGACCTTGACACGTGACAACAAGCGTTTCGCTCAACACATCCTCAACACATCCTCATAGAAGACATCAGAGAGAGCGCGCCCACAGGGCCCGAGCAAAGGGGAGGGGGGGCTAGGCTTAAGCTACCCCCCCTCCCTTGAGCCGCCCTTGTTGGAAGCACCCCCCCCTCCCCCCCTTTTTTGTTGTGCAGGGGGGGGGGGCTTACAGCTACCCCCCCCCTCCCCCCTTGAGCCCTCCCCGGAAGCTACCCCCCCCCTCCCCCCCTTTCCAAAGGGGGGGGGGTGCTTAAGCTACCCCCCCCTCCCTTGGCGCCGCCCTGCTGGAAGCTGCCCCCCCCTCCCCCCCTTTCGTGCAAAGGGGGGGGGGTGCTTGGAAGCTACCCACCCCCCCACCCCCTTTGGCCGCCCTCCCCTTTCCAAAGGGATGGGGGTGCTTAAGCTACCCCCCCCTCCCTTGGAGCCGCCCTGCTGGAAGCTCCCCCCCCCTCCCCCCCTTTGTGCCAAAGCGGGGGGGGGGGCTTGGAAGCCCCCCCTTCCCCCCTTTGGCCGCCGATCCGACCAGGACTACCACCATCTCCTCATCCTCCCTCCTCCCTCCTCTCTCCTCCTCCTCCTCCTCCTCCTCCTCCTCCTCCTCCTCTCCTCCTCCTCCATCATCATCATCATCATCATCATCATCATCATCATCATCATCATCATCGTCATCGTCATCGTCATCATCATCAGCATCATCATCATGTTCATCATCATCACCACCACCACCACCATCATCATCATCATCATAATCCGGAGCGCCCCAGATCGGCGGCACTGGCCGCAGGCCAGCACTATATATATATATATATATATATAGATATATATCATGTATGTATGCATGATCGTAGGTATGTCTGCCTGTCTGTCTGTCGGTCCGTCGGTCGGTCTGTCTGTATGCATGCATGCATGCATGCATGCATGCGTGTATGCATGTGTGTATACATGCATGCATGCTTCTATGCATGTATGTATACATGCATGCATGCTTGTATGTGTGTCTACTATGTATATATGTGTGTAGGATACGCAAATGTAAATGCATATGTTGATGGATATAGATATGCATATGTATATGTATATGCATAGTATACGTTTATGCATATGTAGATGTAAATGTATATGTATATGTATGTGTACATGTATATGTATATGCACATGCATCTGTAGATGTATGTGTGTATGTATGTGTAGATGTATGTGTATATGTGTATGTAAATGTGTATGTATATGTATATGTATAAGTATATGTAACTGTAAATGCAAATGTATATGTATATGTATATGTAAATGTATATGTATATGTATATGTATATGTGTATATGTATTTGTCTATATATATATATGTATATGTATATGCATATGTATCTGTATATGAATATATTTGTATGTATATGTTTATGTATATGTATATGTAAATGTATGTGATGATGTAGATGTTGATGTAGATGTATATGTGTATATTGATGTTGTGACCGTCGCCGTACTGATGCAGGGTCCCGAGCGGGCTCTCTTCGGGGTCTCTGGAGGCAGTTTCCAGGCCGACTTGGGGGCCACTTGGTCCGTCAGGGCGATCTTGGGGACCCCTTGGGGCTGTTCTGAAGCGGTCTCAGGGCCCAATTGGGGGCTGTCTTAGGGCCCTCCTGGGCCGTCTGGAGCGCTCTGGAGACCGAGAAGCCGCGTACGCGAAAATAGCACTGCAACCTGATTAAGGAAAACCCATGACTGTTGCCTCCTGGGCGCCTCTTGGGAGTCGTCTTCGGGCCCACTTGGGCCATCTGGGGAGCCCGTTGGGCCGTCGGCGCTCTAGAATCAGCCTCCCCAGCCGCACCCAAGTTGTACTGGACTAGTTCTGTATGCGCATACCCATCGGTCGAAAGAAGCAGGCAGAACCATGAAGTAGAAAGGCGTTGGAAGTAGATTGGGTTTCCGCCTGCCTCCTGTAGAAGAGGGAAGAGGGAAAACCATTCGACTCTTGAAATAGGAAGGCGGCTAAAGCAGATTGGGCACTGGGAGTCCCAAACTACCTACTTTCAACGGCTGAGGGGTAGGTTTTCAGTGCATCTGTGCAGCTATACGTATATATGTACATATGTATACATATGTGTATATCTATTTGTATGTGTATATAAGTATGTGTAAATATGTATATGTGTGTATGTATCTATACATGTATTGCATATATGTATATACAGTCCTTGGGCCCAGGATAACTCTGGCCAGGCACGGGGCGATGTCTGCGGCGAGGAACGCCCGCTGCAAGCGTGCCGCAGCGGCGGCCCTGGCGGCCCAGCGACGCGCGGACGGCGTGTCGCTCTGCCGCCAAGGGGGCGGCAGGCTGCAGAGAGATCGCACGGCTGGAGCTGCCTCTGGCGCCCCGCGCCGCCGTGTGGCGGGCCAGAGCCGGCGGCGGCGACACGCTGCAACAGAGGATCGAACAACTTCACTAGACGAGCGCGTTCCACTACTCGCAAGGTGACTAGTCGCAAATGGCCCAGATCCGCCGGGGGAGATCTACGAGAAGTTACATCGGAGCAGGCAACTTTTGGAGGTCCGCGCGGACTGTGTTGGATCGGCGCTGGACCCCAATGCCTGGCGCGCGGAGCGCGCCGGGGGGCGGCGTCGGAGGCGCCGCCATTGAGGTCCGGCGCCGATGTGCGAAATCCGCACGGAACTCCAGGCACCCAGTGTAAGTCGGGCCTGTCCCCCATACAGGGAGAGGAAAGATCGGCCGGGACGGGCCCCGGGACCCAGATCTCCGACGTCTTGCAAAAAAATCAAGGCGGAAGCTTTTGAATATGTTCGGCCTCCAGAGGCGCTCAGCGGGCCCCGGGACCGCCAAGAAACGACTCAAATGAAAAACCTCCCCCACACGAGCCAAAGAGGAGAGGGGGGGGAAGCTTCAAGCCCCCCCCACTTTTGCACCAAGGGAGGGAGGGGGGGAGCTTCCAAAGCCCCCCCCCCCCTTTCAAAAGGGGGGGGGTGCTCACCCCAGCTCCATTAAAAGGGGAGGAGGGGGGTAGCTTGGAAGCCCCCCCCCCCCCCCTTTTCCGGCCACGAAAAGGGAGGAGGGGGGGGGGGTAGCTTCCGAAGCCCCCCCCCCTTTCAAAGGGGGGGGGGCTCACCCCGGCTCAATTGTAGGGAGGGTGGGGGGGGTAGCTTGGAAGCACCCCCCACTTTCCGGACCACGAAAAGGGAGGGAGGGGGGGGGGCTTCCGAAGCCCCCCCCCCCTTTAGCAAGGAAGGGGGGAGGGGGGTAGCTTCAAGCTGGGGCCCCCCTTTTAGTCTGTCGGGCCCCACGAGCGCGGTCTATCAGACATCAGCCTGAGCGACATCAGCCTAGCCGTGACAACAAGCGTCTCGCTCGAGACATCCTCAACACATCTTCATGCTAGACATCCGCCTGGGCGACCTGGGCACGTGAAAACAAGCGTTCCGCGCGAGACGTTCTCAACACATCCTCATGCTAGGCATCCGCCTGGGCAACCTGGACGCGTGAAAACAAGCGTTTCGCTCAAGATTCTGCCCAACTCCTCATGGTAGACGTGCGCCTGGGCGACCTGGACGCGTGAAAGCAAGCGTCTCGCTCGAGACATCCTCAACACATCCTCATGCTAACAGCTGCCTCTGCCTGGGCGACCTGGACGCGTGCAACCAAGCGTCTCGCTCGAGACTTCCTCAAGACCTAGGCACGTGAAAACAAGCATTTCACCTGAGACATCCTCTGGATTCTGGCCCTCCGGATAAGAACGCTCTATATATCACCAAACAAGCGTTTCGCTCGAGACATCCTCAACCAATTCTGAAAGCAAACAAGCGTTTCGTTAGAGACATCCGCAACAAACGAAAATGTTTACTTTACCATATGTCGTTTCTATCGGAACTGCAAAAACCTGCAATTTGCTCGGGAAACCTCGGCATTTACGTCGCCAGCCTCGACCCCGTCATTTACCGCAGAATAAAGTCGCCGGCCTCCCTCAAGTCGAGGCTGGGTGAAAAAAAAAACAGTGGGAAAACCTACAAAAAAGAGCCCTTCCCGGAAAAATCCTCCGCGAAGCCTCCGAGAGACATCCACGTCGAGCTCGCGTCGGATGCAAGAGAAGCACCAAGATTTCCAGGACAGGCCACGTCACGTCCCCCCGGGAGGCAAGCAAAAGAGAAGCATCAGCAATTCACAAGTGGCTGCTGCGAGAGAGCGCGGCACGACCAGCTCGGCGGCCAACTCGCTCACGACAGGTCGGTACTTGGGGTTGGGCGCGTCACCAGTTCGGTAGCCCCACATCCAGACCTTGGTGCATGTTGTATTTGCTGCTGCGAATCCCACCCCTCGCGTAGAAGAGCAAAACAGCTGCAGAAACATGGCTTGTCGAGGCTCCGCGCAAAAATTCCTGGGTCGACGCTGGACGGTGGCAGCTTCGTGCCGTGACGACCTTCGCGCTGGTTTCTGACGCCGCGCGGATCGTTCAACCTTGCACGATGGGATGCTGTTCGATCGCCAGATCGTCCCCTGCTCAGGAGAGCCCAGAATCGAATCGATAAAGCCGGATCGGCAAGGGAAAGCAATCGGATCGGCAGAAATCGGCAGCCGAGTCGGGAAAAATCGAATCGGCGGAAATCGGCAGGCTAAAATGCCTCCAAAGAAATCGGGACCCAAACCGGAAGCCCAAGCCGAATCGAATCAGAATCGGAATCCATCGACGTCGAATCGGATCGAATCGGAGGAATCGAAACGAGCCCTGCCTTCTGGACGACTCTGGGCCACTGGAGGCGCTCCACCTCGAGCGCCCGCGGCGGGGGTCGCCGCCACCTCGGCACGCGACGCCGCGTGCCCGGGCGCGCGAAGCGCGGGGCGGGGGCTGCGCCCAGCAGTGCGGGGAACGGGGCCCAGCGCTGGCCAGCAAACAGGGGGACAAACACCAGTGTCGTGGGCCTTCGGCTACCCTCCGCATGCTCAGGAGTACCAGGATTGAGAACCCCAAGGCTGCATGATCATGACCTTTCGTGGGACCTTGCGGCCTCTTCTAGGGAAACAAACAATGACATGAACATGAAAACTCGGAGGTCCGCGCGGATTTCTCGGATCGGCGCTGGGGCCCCCTGGCGGCGCCTCCGGCGCCGCCCCTGGCACGCACCGCGCGCCAGGGAGGGGGGGGTCCAGCTCCGATCCGAGCAATCCGAGCAGACCTCCGAGTTTTTACATTCATGTCATCGTTTGTTTCCCTAGAAGAGGCCGCAAGGGCCCACGAAAGGTCATGATCATGCAGCCTTGGGGTTCTCAATCCTGGTACTCCTGTGCATGCGGAGGGTAGCCGAAGGCCCACGACACTGCTTCACCTGCGCAAGAGGAGTCCTGCAGCAGAGAGCAGGAACGACACGACTGGCAGACGAATCGAGAAGGGGGGGAACGCGGGTGGAGGGAAGGGGCAGAGAGGGAGGGGGGCGGAGGCATCTCGAATAGGGATAACCCCAGGAAGCATTTAAGAAACCCCCCGGCGATATCTTAGCACCGCATTTTTATTCGATATTCCGAGGGGCCGAAATAACCGAACGATAGGTTTAGCACCCGGACACACAACAAATTCGCGGAGGCCTGGCCCCTGGGCCACAATCGAAATTCGAAATTCTAATCTGCGTGGCTCTCATGAAAGACTCAGGATGTCGCTTGCTGCTTGGAAAATTCATGCAATGATAATAGTATTAATATTCGCAAGCATGAGGAGGAGGAGGAGGAGGAGGAGGAGGAGGAGGGCTCCTGGTGCCAGGTAACGCTTCCAGGGTGCGGAAGGGTTATCGATTTGCCGGAAGGGGGGGGGGGGTTCTTAAATGCTTCCTGGGGTTAGGGCAAGGTCAGTGGGTCGGAAAAACAATCGCCGATACGTCGGCGATGCCTCGGTAAAGCCGGCAGGAAGGATCTCGGGCTGCAGAGCTCGGCGATGCCTCGGTGGCGCGACGCCGTCCTCCAAGCCCAGCTACTCCAGCCCCAAGCAGACAATCGAAGACTGACCGAGCCGACAGCGAGGTCGAAAGCGACGGACGCCGAATCAGCCGAAGGCAGCCGGGGAGGGCGCAACGAAGCGGCAACGAATCGACAGCCGCCCGAGCTGAGCTCACCGAGAGCAGCCGACTGCGACGCCGACGATCCGACCGAGACACGGACTCCGTTGAGGGGGCGAGCGAGCAAAAAACATCTGTACACGTACGCCCTCCGCGGTCCCGCGCGCACGAACGAGAGAGCGCTCACACGCAGGCAGGCGGGAACTCATCGCGCACGTGTGCGTGCGTGCAGCCGTCGTGCTGCCACAGGCGACGCCGAAGAGGTAGGTAGAACAGAACGGGCCTCTCACGCCACGGTGAGCCTCGGCCACGAAGAGGCTCCCCGACCCAGACTCGGAGAACGGCCTGGGAACCAGGGACCCTCCCGAGCCCAAAGTGGTCTTCGCTTCAGCGTCTTGGCTGCACTGGCCCACTGTCCACCACCACCACCACCGAGGAGGAGGAGGAGGAGGAGGAGGAGGAAGACGAGGAGGAGGAGGAGGAGGAGGAAGACGAGAAAGAGGAGGAGGAGGAAGACGAGGAGGAGGAGGAGGAGGAGGAAGGAGGAGGAGGAAGACGGGGAAGACGAGAAGGAGGAGGAGGAGGAGAAGGAGGAGGAGGAGGAAGACGAGGAGGAGGAGGAAGACGAGGAGGAGGAGGAGGAGGAGGAAGAGGAGGAGGACCTCCTGATCTTCCCTTCCGCCCGTCCTGCCTATGGCAGCGGTGGTGGAAAAAACTGCCCATCCTTGGCTGCACGGCTGCTGGGCGAATGCATTGGCCGCGCCGCGGGCCCGTGCCACGCGCCCGCCCGCCCTGCTCCGGCCGCCCGGGCTCCTCCCGGCGCGGCCGCCGTGCTCCTGCTCCCGGCCCTCCTCCCCTCCTCCCCTCCCGCACGCTCGCCCCCCGCTCCCGCCTGCACACCTCGCCTCCCTCGGCCGCGCTCTCCTTGCCCGGCCCCGCGGCTCCTGCGGCTTCGCACGCCTCCCGCACCTCGTGCCCCCTCTCCTCCACGTCCTCCTCTGCGCCTTCGCCTGTGTTCCTCCGCTCCCTCCTGCCTCCTTCACGCTCGCCTGTTCGTCCTTCTCCCCCTCCCATCCAGAGTAGGACGGTGGGGTGCAGGTGAGCCCAAGAGGGATCAGCAGGAGGAGGCACCGAGGATGCGGTCAGCAGGCAGGAGGCAGAAAGAGGGGGGATGGAGAGAGGAAGGATCTCGTTACCTGTGTGCTGAGTGAGGGGGAAGTCCGAGTCGGGCTCTAAAAAGTTGATGGGCAGGGGGAGGTCAGCCCCAGGAGAAAGACGAGCTCGCCATCACCCATGGCCGTGCTCGCTGGCCACCTGCGGACCCCTCGCGGGGGGAGGACGCGGAGGGAGCGGGGGAGCCAAAGGACGCACGGAGAGGGGGAAAAGGAGGATGGAGGAGGAGGAGGAGGAGGAGGAGGAGGAGGAGGAGGAGGAGGAGGAGG